ATTCTTCGTATTTTTGTTGAGCAAACGCGAGGTGTTATTATTCTTTATTCACAAATGAGCTGACGTTTCGGCGGATTTCGCCTTCCTCAGAGCCGAAAGCGGCTCTGAGGAAGGCGAAATCCGCCGAAACGTCAGCTCATTTGTGAATAAAGAATAATAACACCTCGCGTTTGCTCAACAAAAATACGAAGAATTACTTGATCAATGCCGAGGTTAATAGAAAGTCGGTCGTGAGAGAGAGGAGAATTTCTAGCTAATAGAAATCGGAACCATGGAAGAGTAACGTATATAAAAGAACAACGAAATGCAAAACTTATACACTGGTTGAGAAGTGGCGGCGCTTGATTGCTCGCTACAATCGAAACAGCAGTGAAAGCGAATCACAACTACCGTAACTATTTTTGCTTGGTTACCGTAAACAAAGGGCGTGTCGAAGCGGTCGGAGACGCCCTGCAACACGCACGGGAATCGATCGCAGAACCCATGGCCCACCAAGCCTCACGTCGCTTCGGGGTCTGCACATTAGTACCAGACTTTTCTTGGAGGATAATAAATAGCATTGGTTCGATACATCGGTAGACCACCGCATTGTAAAGGCCAGATTTGCATCCAATCGCCTCCAAACGACGTTTAATGAAGTCGAATGCGTGGCCCATCCTTCAGGTATTGGTCAACGCCGAGAGCTTTATCCCTTTTTTTTATTCGGTTAGCGTTCGAGGTTTTCGTTTTTCTCAGAGCCGACGACATCTCTCAGCCGTCATCGGCTCTGATGAGGGCAAAGGCGTCGAAACGCTAGCTGAATAAAGTTTATTTTATCAACCTCCAAGGAACTAATACTCCTTATTCTTGCCAGTAGCTTTGCGCTATCGTGTCCATAATATATGTAGAGCAACATCCAATCACCTCCAAACGACGTTTAATGAAGTCGAATACGTGGCCCATCCTTCAGGTATTGGTCAACGCCGGGAGCTTTATCTTTTTTAACGCAAACTTGTCACAAATGGGCATGATTTGCACTATTTTACACATATAGTAAAAAACAATTTAGCCTAGCTAAAATAGATAGACAACATATTATATTTTTAAAAAAATATGTTGGATTATATAGGCTGACAAAATACTTTGTTCTGCAGTGACTAGTGTTACAATATGATTACACCCACTTTGGTGGGTATGAGAAATGCAATAATTTTATCACTTCTAGATAGTGGTTGCAAGAGACCCCAGCCTTGAAGAAACTCATGAGGAAAATCTGAAGAGTGAAACGCTAACATCGACAACAGTTACAAAGCATACAGAGCTTCAGTCGTTACATTCATCTGTGCAAGTCGTCACCACTGAAACCAGCAAGGTACAGGAGACAACGACGGCGGAGAAACTAGGACTAGGAAAGTCAACTAAAAAGCTGCAATCTTCGACTACCGACTCAGGCAAGAGCACTGCAAAAGAATTTTCGAATACTGCCGATAGTTCTGTGAAGAAAATAGTGAAAAAAGTGCTGAATAATGATGATATTCCCGTTATGACGGCAGCGAACTCTAGTGAAGAATTCGACAACGATGACGGAAACAGTACTGCTTCATTCACAGTGATGGTGACTGAAACCTCAACTAAGGCAGCAGTGGTGAACGAAAAGGCAGTAAGCAACAGGACGAACGACTACGTAAACGAGCACCTACTGCAAACTGCTAATGATAAAGTTCCAGAGGAAGCATTCAGAAAATCAGGCGCTAAGATTAAACTTGTAAATAGGGTGCATAATTGCTTACCGGTAAGCCTTCCATTCACTTTCTACTCCAACTTCAACTCTTCACGTCTTCCGTTTCGTCTCAGACTGGCATAGGAGATATACTCGGGATTGGCGTCGTCGACCTTCCATATGCTGCAGCTATTTGTGTTCCAATCATCTGCTTAATGGTGAGCATTATGATCGCCTCTTTCAGCACCATGAATGCGTACATGAACTTCTACAGGCCACACCGAGTGAGTTATGTTTCGCCGCATCTTAGATGGAATTTTAATGCGAAGGCTGCTCTTTTAGTGCCGTATTTTTGCTGAGAATGTTACGCAAATTTTCCTCTGGACAGTGTCGGCAATTACGCTGCTGCTGACCCGACAAGATTGGGACTTGACGTGGGACGGTGCAATGTCTGGAGCGTTTGTTCCCGAATATCCTACTAGTTGGCACTGTGCTGAGGTACGTTGTGGATCAGTTCTTGAACAAATTTCTCTGCATTAACTACCTGAACGAGCGCACTGGCTAGGACTTCTCGGTAATTCACACTCGGTCATTGGTTCGCTTTCGCTCACCACGCTTTTTAACCCTCTGAGGTCAGCAAACTGGTACCAGACCTGTTTAGGCGATAGCAGCACTTATTCGATACATTGGCCGGCCACCGCAAGTCATTGAAAAGGCCAGATATGCATTCAATCACCTGTAATGATGCTTAATAAAGTTGAACGCATAGCATATCCTTCAGGGATTGAGCAACGCAGAGATCCTTACCCCTTCTCAAATACTTAACTAGAAAACTCTCGATAATTGGCAAAAATAGTTCTCGGATGAAATCAATAGTGAAGAATAGGGCACCTAAGCAACAGCATTTGATCGACACTGAAAAGACATTCTTGTAATCAACATAAATAAATGACTGTTTACTCGTCAACGATTAGCAATTGTTTTACACAGAAACCAAACCATTTCCCTACTCTTATGCCAGATCTCCACCACGTCGTCACTATTATCATACTTCACTTCTGATCCCTCTCCTGAAAATTTGGCACAGCAGGCCCATAGCAAATCTATTTCCAAATTTCAACTTTCCACTCAATAAACTTGCTTAGACGACGTTTAATATGGAGGGCGAAAAATTTAACGGTACCCAGATTTGTTGTTGTACCACCCATCACTACGAAGTGAAGAGAATCAGCGACAAGTTTGCAGCCGTTAGAGCACCCAGTGTCAAAAATAGGGCCTCGTTACAATACCATGATGTTGTTCGTTTTAGAAGCTAAATAATGAGAACAATAACTTTTGATGAAATACGTGTTGTCCTTAAAAGGCGCTCCTCTGGGCAAGAGAAAACGGAAACGGTGTCTCTAGGTTTCAGCGTAAGAACGGCAAATCAAGCCAAAGACGAGTACCCATAGGAAAATAATTCTCTACATGCTCAATCGAATCAACCTACTACGTTTCCTTCCGTATCCATTCCTATTCTTCGTTACGATAAAATGACAGCTATACGACAACCACAACATGTAGTGTGATTGATGATCAACAAAAGCGGTGAGAACTATGACTGGTATGCGCTGCCATTGGTTGCGACACATGTGACGTACCCATCAGAACGTGTTGTGATTGGTCAACGATCAAGCACTCAATACCATTAGCTAATACAAATACGAACTTATCATTAGAAGGATCAGAGCGTGCTCAGATTGGCCAATGATCACAAGTGCCTCAATTTGTCATTACCGACTTTTCAGCTCACCTGCTATACGATGGTGATTCTATTCCTAGCTGAGTATTACTTCTACAATTACATATTCTACAGTATGTACTTCGAAGAGAGTTTTGGAAGCTACACGGTAGTATCCTTACAAATTTTTTTCCGCCTGCGCAGTTTCTTCTGTAACTGACACTACGATCTAAACATTGATATTTAGGTGGTCGATCGCCCTGAATACGAAAATTCAATCTACATGAGCACTGTTGAAGTCAATGAAGAGAATACGCTTTAATACAGAACTCGTATAGATTGATAAATATTATGAATGCCGTTCGTTGGTAAGAAAATGAACGGTGTTTCACACCGGCGAGTACTTATAAGCGATATCTACCAATCGAATTCAAAGTTGTCTCTAACTCACATTTTTAAAGTCGTATCTGACGAGGTTAAACCTTAACACCAAAGAGAAACAATTGAAGTATGTCTTGGATAGAAAAGAAACAACGAAATAGAATGAAACGGAAGAAGAAGTAAAAATGTTAAACATTTCAAGAGTACTCTCAGGAAAAAAGCTAACAACTACCGACCATCAGTTGTCGTTATGACCCAGCAAGAAGACGATTCACTAAATTTTCGACATTTTAATTTTTTCACTTGGGTGACATATCTTTCCATGTTACCTTGATGTTATAGAAAGGGCGCCACCAACAAAACGAAAATGGTGTAGGTGCAGCCTTGCCAGTATGCGCCAGACTTATTAGAATTTACCAGAGCACGGTAAAAGATTTTAGCCCGATGGTGTTGCCTTATCGAATCTTCCCTTTACGGCAATAATGGTGTCGCTTTAGAGTTGCGAAGTAGTTATTGTGAGTTCATTGTATACCTCATATATGGAAGAATTCTCAATGGTGAGCACAGTGCCTTGGCTGGATACGGTCAGAGGAAGATTGTTCAGATTTTAGAATTTAACATTGTCGTTACCACGTGATGAGCGATTTTTCGTGAGCCATCTAAGTCGTAGAGATGGCATATCCACCGCTTTCGAACGGTCTTGAAAACGGTTATGGTCCCTCTCGTGGAATAGATAGTAGTCGTTTAGTGAATAATTTCACTTCTCTATTAGATGTAGGACTGCCCCAAGTGGATGTTGAAAGAGGATTATTTTTGTCTTGCAACCATTATGAAAGTTCTTGGAGGCGAAGTTTCTTTGGTTATTCATAGAAATTTCAGTTTTCTTCATTCCATTGTGAAGGTGTACGACAAGGCGATTTTGTCCGTTATCGAACTCTTCGCATAACCAAACAATATCTCCCTAAAAGCTGGCCAAAAAAGTCAAAGACTTGGAATTGAGCCGACTGATCAACTTTTCCCTCAACTTTGCGAAATAAACTCCGGACACTTATCATCCAGTTCATTCTTCCGTTTTTATAGCGTCAGTGCTGATAAAGAAGTCGTCCTGATGATCATGTGCTAGGCATCTCCGCTCTAGAGATCTTCGCAATAGTTTGATGTTCAAGCGAAAGAGAAGAACATTGTGAAAGCCCTATCATTAACGATTTTCAACCGTAAACGTGCCATACATTAGTATAATGCGAAATTTATCTCATCTTACGGATCGTCAATCTTTTTTTTCTAGATAAGCAAAGATGTCAATGTAACACCTGCAGCCAGTCCTTCGCTTCGTGGAATTAATCTCTCAATTTCGTCCAAATTCCCAGTTCAAATTTCCCACAGACTTGTTTTCTGGCGGAAAACTTTAGTTTGTGCAGGAGCACATCTCATCATTCAGAAAGAATTGGTCATAAGATTTTTAAGCTATTCTTCAGAGAACGGATAACGCAGTGGTAACGGCTCTACTCTTTAGGCAGACAACTCTACCTGCTCAGTAGCTGGTTTGACTCCCTCCTAGGTCCGCAAGTCTGTTATCCCCCAGGTGTCGAAAATTTTGAATCACACTTATCTGGGCAAGCTTACTACACCTAATCCACGTGAGAACATTCTGGAACGGTTATCTCAGGACTCCAGAGAGAATCGACATCGACTTGACCAGTATTCGACGACGTTTATGACGGACACGAAAAAATTCCCCAGTCAGCAGTCACATGTGTATGTGTATGTGTATGTGTATGTGTATGTGTATGTGTATGTGTATATGTGTATGTGCATATGTATGTGTATGGGTGTGTATGTGTATGTGTCAGCTTTGTTATTCAAAGGATTTCTCGAGCGTTATTTTGCTTACTAAGTAGTAGTAGTAGCTAAGTAGATAAATTTAAGTAGATAAATGAATAATTAAATGGTCATACCTATATATACATATTCACGCAAAAGTTACAAATGATAAAGTAAATAATGTCTTGGAGAAGTCAGCGATCAAAATTTCAATTTATGATTCTTATCTACAGCCCATTATTTTTTCTACGGCAGGGTATTATGTGAAATACATCCGCTATGATGCCGAGATATTTGCAAAATTTGAACCCCAGGCCAGATCGAATTTCGATTACCCTTTTCGGGGTCTCACGTGTTACACCCGGCACCACTGAGGCATTTTCTGGCTTTAAAATCTCACCTTGTCGTTGCTGTCTTCGATGAGTCCAATCTGAGTAGCTACTGCTTTTGCAGTAGTTGGGTGATCACCAGTGATCATGAATACCTAAACACGTTATCAAATCAAATTGTCAAACACTTTGTCAGTTTTCATTTTTAACCACTACAAGGATTTAAAACACCTTATTAAGGCCCAAAAATGCCAGATAGCTGCTTGTTTAGCCTTTATATTTATATTTATATTTATATCTCTATGAAACTCGACGTTACCTTAATCCCAGCACCTTTGCACTGATTAATGGCAGCGGTCGTCTCAGGTCTGAAACACGTAGACTACACTTACACGAATAAAATTGTCGCTGTGGGATGAATTGTTGTGATAATTTCTGAACTTCACTGAATTCCACACTTTTCTTTTTGCAAGAAAATTTGGAATCTGTCAAATGAAAACATCATATTCACTAATACTGCTGGATCTCGCTGATAGATTTTACCACATTCTCTTAATGAATCGCTTATGCACCAGACATCGATGTAAACTTGGCCAATAATAATTATGATTACGACGATAAAAAGCTCTGAAGCTCTCGGCGTTGATCATCTCCTGAGGGATGCGCTATTCGACTTCATCAAGCATCGTTGGAGGTAGTTCAATGCATATCTCACTTTACAATGGCTCGTGGTGGCCAACAGATGTATCGAGCCAATGCTGCTACCATCTCATTCAAGTCTGGTATCAGTGTACCGACACCGGAGAGATGGAAGACTTGGAGAGCCAAAGGCGCGAGGACCGATCCCACTTGTATATTGCAGGCTGCCTCCGACCACTGCGCCACAGGCCCCGCTACGACGATGAAAAGGTGGAAAACTATCTGATGACTCAGGAATCGACCGCTAGCAGGTGCATCATTCAGAAAGGGAGTTCCATGAACGGAAGGAAACCAAGGATATATTGGACAGATCTCCTACTACGCTCAGAAAACAGCAGCGTTTCTGCGGAATATCACGAATTTTCAGCAACGAGAAGAAGGAACTCAAAACGATACTATACCTCGGTGGATCCATAATGGCGGCCATTCCAAGGAAAACTAGATTCTCTGGCCATTCGTATTCACCGTGGACGAATTTCACGTCGATCGGTGCGTTGAAATGCGCTTGGGCGAATGCGATCACTCGTCGGCCAGCATTGCCCAACGATTCCCATGCCGTCTAAAACACAAAGGTTTGTCTCTCGTTGAAATATTTTTTCATTGGTCAAAAACTTTATAAGATTTCCTATAGAATCATCCATTTGGAAACATCCAGATACCTGACAATGCGCTTTTTATTCGGTACAGTTTCCTATTGCTTCAAATCTCAAATCACTGCGCACATTCGGACAGTTTTCATAGCTTAAATGTTATTGCTATCGTACCTGACATTCTTGTCGAAACTCGTCGTCGATGTCGACGACTTCATTGTTGGCACGGGCGAGCTTGCAACTGCCTAGTATGACCTCCGGTGCGCCCTTTATCATTACCACATAGCGAGCCTCATCCTGAACGCACGCACAAGTCGTGTCGTCCAGAATAATTCACGAGCAGCATTCTACTTGCAAGAAATTACTAGACGAAAAATGAGGCATTAAAGAACTACTCTTGACGGCTCAGGTAAATTCTCCACTGGTTCCACGTCAACCAAACAACGTGACACCACCAACTGCCACCGGCGAATCGAATTGAACGGAATTTCATGTACTAACTGTAAAAAAGAAGCTTTTCGGAAAAAGTTTCTGAGAATGATCTACCAGAACTATTCGCTTGATAACTTATGTTGTGTTTATCATTATTTTTCTCGTATGTAATGCTGAGATATTTGCAAAACTCCGGACCGCCGGTGTATGCGGTGGGGAACGAACACGCGCTGTTGTCCTTACCGGGGAGCAGCGCATTTCACCACCACACCATTCGGGTTCTTCGTTTTGCCTGTCTCTCAGCTAGTTCTAAAAAAAATCGATAGAACTAGCTGAGGGACAGGCGAAACGAAGGACCCGAATGGTGTGGTGGTGAAGTGCGCTGCTCCCCGGTAAGGACAACAGCGCGTGTTCGTTCCCCACCGTTCCCCACCGGCGGTCCGGAGTTTTGCAAATATCTTAGCATTACATACGAGTTATATTTCGCAATATACCCTGCCATTAAAAAGAAAAAGGCAGTAAATAAAAGGGTTAAGATTATTTTTTCTATTATTCAGTATATACAGTATGTGTTCACGGGGGCATGTAGGACAATGGTCGGAGGCGCCCTGCAATACACATGGAATCAATCCCCGTGCTCCAGGTTGGAAACACGAGCTGGCTCCTATTAGTCGTTCTTCTCTCTATTTTGTTCTATCACCTATTTTCTGACCTTATTCATTTCTTTTTTTGTTGAGACTGTGCACGAAGACGATACAGTGGGTCTATTTTGTATACAAATGTTTCATATGAAAGTAAACAACGAACAGAAATAAGAACAGTAGACGAAGGAAATGATCATTTTACCCACATGGTATCGTTGACGAATTGCTTCAACGCTAGCGTGTAGTTCGACGTATTTCACAAGTGCAACATCGCTAGGGATACCGTAGATGTCGTTCTTATGAGACTTTACCCGACGTTTTGCTATAAAAAAACACGAAAACAATATGGTCACAAAAAGATGGATGAAGTTTTTCTTTCCATGACTTTCAAGGACTCTTAACTTTCAGACTTCCAAAAATTTCGGTATGCCTACGGCACTTAGATAAACTACTGACTTTTCTTCAGTTATGATGTAGATTCCAGCACGATTTTCACTAGATTCGTAACTTTAGGTCGTGAAGGTAATATTTCCTTTTGAAATCCTGAGACGCTTAGGACTAGCCATTATCATAAGAGTGGACGCGCGATTGGAAAGTTCTACATTTAAGACACACAATGGAGAAGAAAACCCGAAAGAAAACCTATATCACATTCGTTTATAAATATCCACCAAACGATTTCACTAAGGAAAATCCTGCAGAATACTTAGGTGATCGCGAAGTTTTTCAACCCAAAAGTAAGCGTAAAAGACGCAGATCAATAGAAACAGACAGGAACTTACGGGGATTTGTGGTAGCCTTAGATACGGTTTCTTCGAGGGCTGAAAGACGATCTGTACCCGAACGAGTTGGCCGGATCCTTTCCGATACTTGACCGGTACGTGTGTCACTAATGAAAACGAATCTTATTGAAGAATCTAATAAGAGTTTATCAATTAATTAACTAATAATAAATGAACAACAATCGGTTTATTTTAATTCAATTAGCACTGCCCAACATCAAATATGTTTTACGAATCACGGCATTTCGAACATTCGTTCGTTTCTTCCCATCCATATTCCACGGTGGTCTCCGGATTTTGCGTGTTGGCCAGGCTGTTATTTAAGGACTTTTGGTCTTCTGAATGTCAACGAATGATAGTTGATTCGATTCTCCCTGGCTTAGGACAACTACTCTAATATGTTCCCAGTTCTTCATCGGATCAGAGCTGTTGTAGATTGGAGTGAACTAGTTGATTTCAGACGAGTCTCATCTCGATTTCCCGACCCCAAACGAATGCAAATGGAAGACTTGGTAGGTCATAACGTGGATGAACCTAGAGGCTTGCATTTATTGAACAGCACTATTGGACTACCCGCTCTCCAGTGATCAGAATAATAATAATGGTGATGATTTGAGAAGGTGTCATACAAGTTAGGATGTTTGAAAAAAATTCTTCAAGTGGAAGAGGAATTACTAGGAGACAGACTAGGACAAATTGTTTTCAGTGGGTAATCAGTATCATCAACGAACAACCGCTCTGTACAAAATATCACCGCCAGGTGGAGGTGCCTCATTCGAGCGAGGCTCTACTGAAGAAGATTAGACTTTATACGACGATGGAGACACCACATCGACAGGATGAACGACTGTGGACCAACGACTCGTATCAATAGCTCCGAGAAAGACGGAAGACTTCGAAACGTTGGCCGAATAAATCTTCTTATCAGCCTCGTGTTAGCTTATCAACGAAAGAATACATATTAGTCAATCATGAAAAGATAAAGTAAAGTCGGTTTTTCAAAAACTAATAGCAGATTTTTTACTTTTTATTTTCTGCCTTCTATAATTTTAATAGCAGGGTATTAAGCGGATTATAACCACAAGATTGCTGAGATATTTGCAAAACTCCGGATCGCCGGTGTATGCGGTGGGGAACGAACACGCGCTGTTGTCCTTACCGGGGAGCAGCGCACTTCACCACCACACCATCCGGGTCCTTCGTTTCGCCTGTCTCTCAGCTGTAGTGTGGTGGCGAACGCGTTACTCCCCGGAAAGGACAATAGCGCGTTCGCTCCCCACCGCGAACACCTGCGGTCCGCAATTTTGCAAATATCTCAGCAATCTTGTGGTTGTCTGTCCACTAATAGCAGAGTTCGCTCACACAATCGTGAACTTTTTCGTGACCGGCCCGCTGAGCATCGCCTCGGAAGCGGACTTCTGGAGAGCGCGCATCGTCGACACAGGACACGTTGAACGTCGAACATTCTCGAATTGTGCACGATTGCACACTGACATCACTGAAATTGCTGGATTTCGAAACCTATCGCACAACCCCATAACGATGACCATGACACAATCATCGATAGCACCCGCACGCGCTCTCGTAGGTACCCCAATAAGTTCGTTGTAATTCATTTAAGCAATGCATTTCACATCTAACTACTATTTTCCATAAGAAATATGGAGATGGATACTTTTTCAGGAACTTTGTTAACCTAATATACGATCGTTTCATGAGCCATAGAATTGAGCAAGAGATGAGGACTTTCACGGTGAGAAACTTCCATGAAGAAATGAAATAAAACAATGGCTGATACTTGACGCTTAAAGTAACAAGCGCTGAATAAGGTGTCGATTAAACAGAAGAAGCTCGAGAAAAACTTTAACAAGGCAAAGTATCGGCCGCAAAGAAATGAGTGGACATCAACTCACGCTGGTGGAATTGCCCCTCGCCTTTCCTCACCACATATGAGAAAAAGTCGGTAGTCTCTTTGGGTTAGAAAAAATTATTTACGTTAATTGAGTACAAATATGGCAACAGCTACTTATTTAGTATTCAGAATAGTTATTGCACTGGTTGTATACTCAAGTCTTCAATTCTCCCACCATTAATGCTTCTTTGCATTAAATTCAATAGTTCCTTGTTAAAGGATAAAGGATAAAGCTCTCGGCTTTGATCAGTCTCTGAGGGATGTGCAGAGGATTCGACTTCATTAAGCGTCTTTCAGAGCTGACTGAATGCATATCTGGCCTTTACAATGACTCGCGGCGGACTACCGATGTATCGAACCAGTGCTGCTATCCTCCCAGACAAGTTTGGTACCAATTTGTCGACCTCGGAGGGATGGAAAGCTTGGTAGGCCATGGGCGCCAGGATCGATTACACGTGTGTGTTACAGGGCGCCTCCGACCACTGCGCCACACGCGCCCTTTTTTCTCTTAGCACACACGTACTTCATTTCTTTTCAAATTTTCAGTTTTTACACCTAATAGTACTTATTAAAACGAATATATAATGAAATACCAGTGAGAATATCAGGAAGAGGTTCTTCTAGCCGTTCACCAGATTTAACGGCGGAACGCATGACACGCATATGAGGATGTTTATGGTCGATACCAGCTCCTTAAAACTTTTTAAATATCGCCTTTAATCATATGATCCATCGACGATCTCGAACATCTCGAACAAATTGGTCTATATCACTCCCAACCATTTTATCGCAGCCATCTATTAAATACTACTTAGTTAGTTGAACGGTTCGTCCTCACTAGTGCGCGCCCCAGTATAATCACCATTTTTCGGAGATTTGCTGGTTAAGCCATTGTGGTTTCCCGGAATCCCGAGAACAGCCTAGCCAGTCTGCTCCAGGTCGTCACCACGACAGGCAGTCGCAGCCTCTGTGGATCAGAGGGAGATTTGCCACTATGCGGGTTTGATACCAGGACGGTGGTGGATCTTGGTATTGGTTTATTCTTAGCTAGGTTTCCTGATGGAAACGCCGGACTCCTAAGCTTGGGAGACCCCGCCATGGTGCCTAAGAACAAATCTCGCCGCTGTACATTGCAGTCCGACACCCAAGAACCCCTCTCAGCCACGATGAGGCGGTAAAGCGTTGCAAGGAATTTATTGCATATACATATATATATATATATATATATATATGCGAGCAGAAATACATGGAAAATATTGGCGAAACATACAAGATAAAAGATAAAGCGCAGGGCGTTATTCTATGCGTTGACCTATGATATGCGCTACGCCTTCCACTCCATTCGTGGTACCGTAGAGGTGAATGAAAGCATTATTAAGCTTATTCAATGACTTCTAGGAGCCTACCAATATGTCAATTCAGTGCTTTACCTTCCCAGACAAGCCCGGTTTCAACGACCCCACCTCAGAAAGAAGGACCAGCTGATAAGACCAGGACATAGAATCGAGTCTAAGACCGGTCCTGTGTACTTTCAGGCGTCGCTAAGTACTGCGCTACTCGAGCACCTAGAACTATCACGGAATAGTAATTCAAATAAGAATAATTTACCGGTGACGACCATTCGACGGTTGTACCACAAATCAGTAACGACCATTTGATTCATAGTCAATGTTCCTGATTTATCAGCACAGATTACGGTTACCGCACCGAGTTCATCTAAAGAAAATCCTCGTATGAGGAAAAAAGGATGCAAAACAATAGGTGATCAAAGCGTCCATAACGACTACTCCACTTTTATTGGTTTTAGCACAAAAAATACAAAGACAAAAGTTTCAGAACATCGGAAAAAATAAAGTTGCTGGTGGATCACATTATCGTCCACTTCTTATTTCTTATGGTCACACTTGAACGACTCTATTCCTTGTCCAATTTAAAATCGTTACTACATACTCACATGAAGAAACTGCTCAGTGCTCACTAACCGATAAGGTCAACTTTTTTGATGTAGATATTTTTCTGGGACATCCGCCTGGCAATGATTCGTAGCTGTGACATGACCGTAGCAGGCAGTCCTTGTGGAACATTAGCAACAATAACAACCAAAAATCCGATAACGAAGTGATCCAGTACATTCTCAAATCTACAACGGATGAACTGTAGCTGATTTCTCTTCGTAAAAAGTAGGAAACATTACCTCTAGAATTCGTCGTATTTTCTCTCAGCAATCGTGAAGTTGTTAAACAGCACACGTTTACTTCCATACAATAACACACATACAACACAACCGTAGCTGACGTTTCGGGAGAATCGCTTTCTTCAGAGTGTTTAACAACATCGTGATTGCTGGGAGAAAACACGACGAATTCATAATCTGATGCCGAGGTTAATAGAAAGTCGATCTTGGGTCCTATTACACCTAGAGCTTTTACCTCAATGGAAAATGGAAAAAGGACCCATTGCTCACTTTCTCACTCATTTTCTCTTGCTACAAGAATAAATTTTAAGTAATACTTCATCCACTACTTCAACTACTTCATCTACCACCTAGACCCTGTTTTTCATTCGACTATGAGAATTCACATACTTTGCAACAATACATCCGATGAAGAACATTGCGGTTGCCATACAGATTGCCATCACTGATATAAATTTTGCAATTATACGAAGCTCTTTCTGTAGTTTTGTCTTCATCGGCAGCATATTTGTATGCAGATTTGCAATTCCACCAAGCACCTATGGTAACCGGTTTTATCGATGGCTGTCCAGCCGAAAAAGTTTGATGCAAGAAAAAACCAAAGTTGGAAGCTCCACTAAAACATTCACTAACTCCTCAGTAATATAGAAGCAATAACCTCGAATTATAAATAGCGAAAGACAACTGAATCAAAAAAGAACTACTAGGAGCATATCTAGCAATATTTAGCATATCTTGTCTTCAGTGTACTTAGTTGGAAGAGTTTTTCAGCATCTAACGAGCAAAGAAAGCTGATTCTGCCGTAACTCATGCCAACCTGCAAGAGGTCTTCATCAAAAAGATTACTTACTGTGAATTTTCCCGTCCGAATCACAATTCCTAGGCCGTCGCCTTCTGTACAGTATGAACCTTTGAAGGCGACATTCCTGGAATGGAACACCGACACATACGAGGCGGCTGCCTCGGCTGTACACTCCACTGGAGTCGTCTGTCCTGAAATCCTGTTGTAATTTCTATCGTTCTTCTTCTTTAATGTAAAGATATACTTCATCTTCATTAAAGTTACTTATTTCATTTGTCTACTTTTTCTAGAGCGCTTGTGACGCAGTGGTCGGAAGCGTCCCGTGTGATACATGGGAGTCTCCTCACGCATAACTCACGCAGAGGTCGACCACATTCTGCCAAACAGAAGATGCTGCCTACTTGATACACCAGTAGTTCCGTCATTCTGTACTGGTTCCGATCGCCGCCTCTCCGCTCGAAGATTCGATTAAGCCGTAAGCCGAAAAAAAATTCATGGGAAAGTCTTTGACCACTAGGAAAAAGTCTCGCTGTGTACGACAAAAACAATCTGAGCGAAGCTCTTCCAAACGTAAATGGCAGATTAAGGAATGTCCGACCGAACACTACGAGCTGCTTGTCAAAGGACTGAAAAACTGTGCCGAACTCGCATCAGTTCCTCAAGCAAGAAGATGGGTCACATCTCCATCACTACTAAGGAGTTGCTCGAAAAGAGAAAGAAACAAAAGCTTGATCTGCAACACGTTTAACATGGCTAGTAATAAATACTAGCTGCAGAAGACCTTTGCAGGGAGACCCACAATGGTACAAGCAGACGAAACTACTAGAAGCAGCAGAGAAAAGAAGCAGTCTGAAAAAATGCCGTTGGAATTTGTGTGATTATAATGTTCCGGTGTTCCTGACGAAAGAAAATGGGATCGTCAAAACTTTCCGCCATGACATGGAATTAATAGCGAAAACGTTCTACACCAACGTTTTCCGTTCCACAATCCCGGTCTCAGACCCTGATACCCTCGATGGAGAAAAGCCACCTGGAATTCTTCCGTCGGAGGTTCCAGTTGCGATAGATAGCATGAAAAGAGGCATAGCTCCAGGACTCGATATTACCGCCGACCTCCTTAGAGCTGGAAGTCACAATTTACATGTACTTCTCGCAAATCATATGACAGCCTACCTTCAGAAGGAAAAAAACCCAGACGAGTGGAGGGCCTCGCACACGGTCATCTTGCCCAAGAAAGGTGACCGAAGGGATCTTCGTAACTATTGTCCCATATGCTTGTTATGTGTACTCTACAAGCTCTTCACGAAGATTATCCTCTCGCGCCTATCAAGAACAATGGATGAGGCGGGCGTAACCAGTCGAGCAACCAGGATTTCTAGAAGGATTTTGCTGCATGGACCACATCCAAACTGTGAACAGGGTCACCGAAGTTTCTCGGGAATACCACTTTCCTCTAGTTCTAACCTATGTCGACTATGAGAAAGCGTTTGAGAGTGTCGAAACGAATGCAACCCTATCAGTATGCTCGTAGACCAAGGAGTGGACACGTCCTACATAAGCACTCTGCGCGACTGTTATCGGAACTGCACTGCAAAAACACAGCTTTTCCATCGACCTCTTACCATACCGATAGGAAAAGGGGTTCGACAGGGCGATACGATATCGCCAAAACTGTTTAGTGCTACACAGCAGTGAATAGTGAAGTCATTCGATTGGGATGAGAGAGGTCTACGTACTGATGGAATATTCTTATCAAACCTCCGTTTCGCCAACGACATCGTCATCCTCTCAAGAAGTACCAGCGAAGCAGAAACGATGATCAATGAGCTTAACTAAGCGGGAAAAGATCCGACTGCGCATAAATTAGAAGACCCAGTTCATGAAAAAACCATGGTGCGAAGGCGAACAAGTTAAACTGGATGACTCTCTGATTGCAGAGAGCATGTCGTACGTATACCTTGGGCAATCAATGAACATGGAAAACAACATGAAGGAGGAACTAAGTAGAAGACGGAGAACAGCTTGGGCCGCATTCGGGCCTTTCAAAGAAGCCACCAGCCAACTAAGGAGCCGAAGGAGCCGAAAATACGCGCTCACCTCGATTCAACGATTCTCCTAACGCTCCGTTATGCTACAGAGACGTGTGTTGATAGTTCAACTACGTCAGGAATTCCTCGAACTGCTCACAGAGCGCTTGAGTGAGTGATATCTTCTGAAATATAACCCGCACTCTCAATATTTAACCGGAATGCGAAGCTCTGATCCTCGAAATCTGTCACATCTTCGAGAACGAGGAGAACATAATCGATAGCGAAACATAGACAGCCGGTCACATAATGAGAAGAACAGACGACAGATGGACGAAAAGAACTGTAGAGCGGACTCCAAGAGAATGCAAACGTCCTCTTGGACGACCACCTACACGTTGGGCGGACGTGTTCGTAAAAAATTTAATCAACTGTACCCGCAACTGCAGTTATTTTACAGATCACGGTATGAGACTCGCATGCGCCACCATGCTCGAATAAAGCCACCACTACGGACGACGATTGCGAGGGAAAGAAACCAATGGCAAATGTGATGGGGTCCGCACAACTCGTGAGGATGGACCATCCAGGTGCCCCATGTATAATACTCTGCCGTGAAAAACTGTAATACGCATTAAATGAAAAAGTTAACTGTATGTATATACATATATATATGTATATATAATTTCAATGATGCTGAGATATTTGCAAAACTCCGGACCGCAGGTGTCTGCGGTGGGAAACGAACGCGCTATCGCCCTTTCTGAGGAGTAACGAGTTCACTACCACACCATGGGTGCCCTTCGTTTCGCCTGTCTCTCAGCTAGTTCTATCGATCTCTACCATCAGCAAATATCTCTTTTACAAATATCTCAGCATCATTGAAGTTATATTTCGAAATATACCCTGCCATTAAAAAGAATAGACAGTAAATAAAACGGTTAAGATTGTGTATATATATATACATATATACACATATATATATATATATATACAAATATATATATATACAATGTTTCTTCATTTATATAACCCAATTTCACATAGTGTACAGATAACAGCACTTATTTCATTCGATTCATTTTCATACAACAGCTATCCGTGACGGTCTTCGGAACCAAATATGGATTTGTTGGCCACCAGAGGATTTCGCCTTCTTTATGAATGCCATTTAATCCTAGTCGAGCGTGATCTACCCTGAAATCTTGGCATAGCCTTAGTAGAGCGTTTCCAACTCTACACCAAAGGCAGTCCTCAGCTTTTGCGGATAAGATGGATCACTTCCCAAACAAATTTGGTCTCTCAATCATGGGAGGCTCGGTTTCTGCAGCGAAGTCGAACCAGCGGTTTGCACGAATTAAATCGCACATCTGCTACTGCGTTACCCCTATTAAAAGCCAATATAAAAAAAATTTATATTGTTTAATCTTTGCTAGGAAAAGATCACCGTGTAGAATAAACTAGTGTCTCGATAAAAACGATGTCGTCCGAATTAAAAGAGAGTAGGAAAAAAACTGGCCACACACCTGTCACTTCAGACGCCTCGATCGTGAGGCAATTAGTCTGTAGGATTCGGATATCGGCTGGTATTCGAGATCCCGATCTACAAATGAGAACAATCAGAAATCGGCCGTGTTTCCTTTGTTGTTGTTTAATCACGTGCGTATAATCTAAAGCTATTCGAATTTGCAGATGTCATCTTGCGTCGCTCGAAATGATAAGAAAAGAAAGCAGAAGAAGAACTTCTTTATAACAGGAACACAATCAATGGAATTACATGATACTTGATACTTGAATGGCCCGTCCTCACTAATTCTGTGGATCCCAACATAATCTCCATTTTTCCGAAAATTGCCGATAAAGCCATTGTGGTTCCCTGGAATCCTATGGTCAGCCTAGCCAAAGTCTGCCCCAGGTCTTCAACACCCCAGGCAGTCGTGGTCCTTGGGGATCAGAGAGGGATTTGCCACCATGCGACTTTGATACCAGGACGGTGGTGGATCCTGGTATTGGTTTACTCTTAGCTAGGGTTCCTGATGGAAACGCCTGACTTCTTCTCAGCTTCGGCGAGCCTACCAGGGGGATGAATCCTACCGGTGTACATCGCAGCCAGACACCCAGGAACACCTTCCAGTCATGATGAGGCGCTAAACCGTTCAGAGGATCAATGCAAATACATCAAAATTTTCAGCAAGCAGATTCGTATCGTTAGAAATAAAACCTAAAAACTCGAAAAGTTAGGCATTTCTTTTCATGCGGTTTCATGGATTGAAACAAAAATTCGGATAAACTTTAATCTGAAGTGGAAAAATGGGAATCCAGCATTATGAAACCCCTATCATATCATACAATACATCAGTATACATGGATGGAAAAAAAATAATGACGCGTCTTGAAATTTAACTTAAAATGCCCAACTCAAATACAATTTTATTGACTAAAATAACAACGACTAGAATCTGTACATTTATTAAACAAAACACAGATTTGTTGGTCTCGGTAGCTTAGAATTCTAAGGTTCTGGATGCGGTGAATTCCTGGAAGGGCATTTCAGCAAGGACTGGGTTATTGAAGACGTTCCCAGATAGTTTTCAAAGTGCTTGAAAAACGTGATAACCAATTGGCCAAAAGTCCATGGAACAGGGCGGGTAAGGTAAAGTTCCGAAGAATTTCATAACTCGTTCAATTGCTAGTGTCTGATATGCAACATTTAGTCGTGCGTTGTCGTCAAAAAAGCTTAGATCTTCTCCGCTGTCCATGTCTGGATACCTACGGAGCAGTTTTTTTTTTATGATTTTAACGATCTCGTTAAAGTAATTCTCTGCTGTTATCGTTTTGCCAACATTTAGAATGTTTTATTGGATGATTCCATCTGACGAGAAGAAGAGACGTTACAACTATTCTTTCGATGCAAACAAGGTTTTCGAAAACGTTCAATAACTTTTCCTTGTCCAAGCGTCTCCGTAAACCGTCATCTGTTGTCGTAAAGGATCCAGCTTTCTCCGAACATCACAATGCGACCGATAAACGGGTTGTATTTGCTGTGTAAAAAAGTGTCGAACAGAATTCCTGACAATCACCTCGCTGCCATTCGTTCGAATCACACGACATACACGTTCGAGCTCTTTCATCTTTTCGATGCCTTCCAAATGGTAAACTATTGTTGAATCATGAATATTGAGTCCTTCTACAACTCGTCAAGTAGTTTTGTAACCGCAGCTTCGATCTTCAGAAAGATGTTATCACTTCCCGATGAGTGCACTTGATCTTCCCCGACAAGCACATAATCCCAGAACGAAGTCCTTCGGTCCATCTAAGCAGTGCGTGTTCGAGAGCCCTTTCCTGGCCTATTCTTTGATGACATTTCGGATTTCTATCGTTGTTCATTGTCAAAATTTGAAATCACGAAGCAAAACGATGCGGTTTTCATCGGCTGAAAGCGCCATTTCGATTGACCCAAAAGCCATTGTCAATTACGAGTCAGGAAAAAAACGCTACATACTGTATAGTAAAGGAATAAATAGACCATAAAATGGTACACAGCGATAAAATAGTGAGACAAGAAATTTTTCTTCAAGCATTTCCTTACAACAAAAACGGTCACTATTTTTATACCAGTCTAGAATACGGAGAAACAGAAACTGGAATAAGGAAAGACTGGCTGGAAAACAAAGCAGCAAACCTAATGATGACCAAATCTCCGACGACAATGTCTTCGATGTTCACTTCTTTCTCCTCACAGTCCCGAATCACTATCGCTTTTGATGGCAGAAGTCTCGTGAAGTTTTTTATCACCTAAAACAGCTACCATTGAGTTAGTGCAGCTTCATCTATAGTCATCATCAGAAGAAATTAAGACTACAATAGACAATAGTTCAGACAGATTTATTTAGTAAAATGCTGGCAGAAGTCTCGGCAGTTCAGCTCTCTCCTAGAGCCCGGAAAAGTCAAATCGACAAGCAATTCATCCAGTCATACACTATCATAACCTCAGCAAACAAAACTTTTTGTTGTTCTTAAGTTCTCCGGTTAATACTGGACACCAGAGTCGCTGAGAGTTTAAGAGAAGGTGTTCGCCATGCGAATAGAATCTTATGTATTATGTTTTGTCTGCTGAGGTTATGAAAGTGTTTGACTGGACGGATTGCGTGTCAATTTGACACTTCCACGCTCTGAAGAAGGCGGAACTGCGAAACGCCAGGGAGCATTGTATTGAACAAATCTTCCTGTTACTAATCTCGTGTTTGACTTTTTATTTACTGCCTATTACTTTTTTTGTGGCAACGTATTATGTGAAGTACAACCACTACGATGCTGTGATATTTGAAAAAACCAGACTCCAGGTCAGATTCGGTCCCTTCAGTTCCCTTTTCTGGGAGCGCACGTGTTACCACCCACTGCACCCTTGATTTGTCTTTCTCTCAGACAGTTTTTTATCCCCCACCCCCACCCCCATGGTGTCATAAGCAGCTATCCGTCACTGGGAATGGTCTAGCGAACACAAATTGGCATTGAACCCAGTTAAGCTAAGGCTGTAGTCGGAAAATCACAATTTTTGACTTTTATTTACTGCCTGCTATTTGCTGATCAAACCTCATGTTTGCTCATCTACGAAATAACGCATATTCTGCTCAGTGCCATGGTTAAAAAAAGTCGATCTTGGAATTCAAACATATTTAGGAAGATCTTCATCTTTGTCAACCTCTTGTGAGCTGTGAGCTCAACAATATAAACACATGTTGACTATTTCGCTACCGAAGTCAAATAACGGTCCATTTTAAGATTTAGGAAGGTTAGGAAAGGATAGATCACATTGTAGCTATGTACTAGAAAAATGCAGATCTGACTACCGTATACATGGAACTAACATAACGCAAATGAATAAATGCACATGAAAGGAAGAATATTAGCCCCAAGACGAGAGTATCGATCGTTATGACAACTTTTTCAACGACAAAATATCTAGTATTGTGCTTTGAATGAATCAAAGCAATCCAGAAGCCCAATCTGTAAAATTCTTGCGAGATATTGAACGGCTACAGCATCGTTGCTGTGCTTCTAGTAGATAGAAGTTCGGTGACTAAATTCTAGAACTGTCCAAGAACTCCTATGGAGAAGAAGAATACTGATTTAATACGGCCGGCTCAGCCATTAACCATTTACTGAGATTAGATAGTAACAAAGCACATTTTCTACACCATTACCTATAAACGAACTTTTCATTGATTCTTCTGAAAAACATGCCAAGGCGTTTACAAATCTTCAGCACCCACCAGTACTCGTGGACGCCTGTGGATCTGATAGAGGCTTACTATTTTGCGACTAGAGCTTCCTACCAGGATGCTCGTGGCTGCTGGAATTTGTTCAATTTTGGTCGAGCTGGGTGTTAAGAATGGGTATAGTGAACCATTTTTGCCTTTTACAGTTCCCAATCGCACATTGTAGTTTCATAGGAAAAAGAATAACTCCCTGTCACGACAGCTTCTAAATGCTCGATGTCTTTTAAGTGTTACCGATTGGAATTGCCACCTTGACAAGTTCGAAGCAGGAGTTCCAAAAAAAAAGAAAAAACGAAAAAACGTCAAAATATGAGTGGGAAAAGGTTAACAATATTTCGAAAGTAGTAGTAGTACATAAATGGCTGTATCGCGATGCGCTCTACCTTTCTGGCCTTATTCTCCTGCCATAGTGAAAGCATACACATGAACAGTACGACCAACAGAAGAATGACTGCACAGTAGAGATTCAGTGGTTCATTGAATCCATTCGCATAATGTGCGAAATAGGCAGCTATCGATAGAAAGGCCGCACCTAAACCAAACATCTTATGATCCACCTATGGCTATCGATCTAGCTATTGATTTGCTTATCGATTCAACTATCAAACAAAACTCATCGTACCAACTGCTACAATGAATAGTTTCCTTGGGTTCGTGTGAATAGTGATAATAGTTCGTGTAACAGGAAGAATTTTTTACGTCGCATGACCTGTTTCTGCATCTTCTGCATGGATTACAGTACTTCGTGCAATCGATTCGTTTCCTAGTACCCATCATGCGCGGTCTACGAGCATTTCGTGTGTGGATTCAGCTGTTGCTCAAGGATCTTCATTATGAATGTCGATGAATGCTGGTCAAGTCGGCTCACCACGTTGTCCTGGGATAGCCGTGACTGAGAGTAAGCACGTGGATTGAAGGGACAGACTTGTCTGGTACTAGTTTCACCGACTACAAAGGGATGGGAGGCTTGGTAGCACGAGGGGAGGTTGAACCAGCATGACTGAAGAATTACTCCACTAAAACAGGACGTAACGTAGCTCTGATGAAGCATCTTTAGAAGATGGTGGAAATTTTACAAAGAATAATGGAAGCTTTATTACATGCCATAAAATTTCACGCGTCTTTTCCATTATCAACAGAAATTTTATTCTACCTGCTTTCTTCCGCTAATCCTAATTCATCGTAGAAAAAAAAAGCAGCCTATCTCATTCCTTAATGTTAGCGGGCCTATTTCTTCCAAAACAACTCTGTATTTCTTAAATTCTCGGTCAGATCGATTTAAACGATGAATTCAAGTGGATTAGAACGCATTAGGCAAAGTAACTATTAAGGCTTGTCAATATGAGTGATTATTGATTGACGTTTTTTCGGACCACTGGACTCAATAAAACAACACCAAAAATTCGAAGCTTTGCTCTCATGTTAGACGTAACAATAAGTAAATAACAGCGGTAGCTTTTGAGCATAAAATATATTTTGTAGCACGAAAAAAAAAGAGTGAACGTGAAAATAATTTATAAGAAACTGACCCGTTAATAAGAGCCAAAATTTAAAATGGAACTGCTTGATGAAGACACGAAAAAGACTTTCCTCCTTTGGTGGCGGCAATACATTACCACCGCCATCTTGTAGACGTTTCCTAAATTATTTAGAGCTTATGACACCGTTTATTCTATCAAAATAATTTTCTAATAGTAGCTTCTATAGTGACGATAGTCGGATAAGAAAACTCTGAAAAAAATAATGAATTATGTTTTAATATGGTTCACTTACTCAAGTTTTAGGTATGGCGGTACAGCCATCGGTATAAAAGGTACTAACTAGCATGAGCTTCTGAAAGGTTTCAAAAAGCACATATTTTATTTCCACTTACCACCGTAATCTATCCACTGCAATTATTCTTAAGTGGTCTAACAAAGAGATATTGGTAGAACATATGAAATATCGAAGTCAAGAGCAAAGTGTAACCACAATAAAAAGCTTACGAGGAACTAACTATACGTGTGATCCTGTTTAACCCCAAGAAAAATTGATTTAACGCATGCCAACTGCTTTATGACAAACATATAACGATCAGATAGCATTTACGCGACCATGCGACCTCTACAGGCGACATTTGTTAAGATAGATGGCGCTCGGTATGGTCTATATAAAGGTCATCTTGTTTTTGTTGATTGATTTTGAGGTATGGAAGTTTTTCAGCAAAATATAACTTTTCGTTTGCTGTCTATTATTTTTCCACGGCAGAGTACGTTAAATACAACCACAATAATGCTGAAATATTTGCAAAACCCAGACCCTAGCCCAGATTTGAACCCAGGACTTCCTTTTCCGGGAGCTCGTCTGTTACCCACTGCACTACTGAGGCCTTCGTATTTCGTTTCTCTCGAGTAGTATTTTGCCCTAATGGTGCCGACAGCAGTCACCCGTCAACGGGAATGATCTGGGCAGCAAAAATCATCACTGAACCTAGATAAACTGATGCTGAGGCCGCGTGTAGCGCAGTGGTTAGAGGCGCCTACAATACACATTGGAGCGATCCCGCGCTCCAAACTCACCAAGCCTTCCATCCCCACGTGGTCGACTGGTACCAGACCTGTCTGGAAGAATATAACAGCATCGAATCAATACATTTCCAGGCCACCGCGACTCATTTTACAGTCCATATATGTGTTCAACGACCTCTAACGATGCTTAACGAAGTCGAATGCATGACGCATCTGTGAGAGATTAATCAACGCCGAGAGCTCTACCCTCTTTCCGTTAAGCTGAGACTGCAGTTTTACAGTTAGCTCAGCATCATTGTGGTTGTTTTCCAACCCTTCTTGTAATCAAATGATTGCCTATTCGAAATAACTGTTGTAGCTATTGTCAGTCGGGAAAAATTCCATTCTGAACTTGGAATCATGCAAAAAACCTCTGCCCCAACGAGTACATCGACTTCTAATTTGATGGGCAATTGATTGTTACTTACTCAATTATAACCGCTTTAATGAGTCAAAGTTATCGTATAGAGTGGGAGGGAAAGGGGAGGGAGGGGTATAAAATAAGTAAACTCGAACACTTCAAGTGCTGACAGCAATAGATTCATATAACATCGCATGCAAAGAGCTTAGACATTTCTCTAACTTGTACTCTTTCATTGGTAAGCTACATAGATATTTTATAGATTTGAAATATTTCCCAATAGCTACACTACTAATACCCCATTGTTTTATTTTTCTAACTTTTGTAGCCAAATTTCCTTTATTGCTATCCTCTTAAACACAATGTTTAAATGCTACTAGCTATTATTAGAATGTTATTAACTAGATGTGCATTGACCTGCAACTTCTTTTTTGCATTCTAATATATTATACGCCTGTATCAGATCCAAAACGCATAGGTTTTTATCATGGAGTACTGTAAGTGCTTCACAGAGTTTTTGATGAGACACGATGACGGAAGTACGAAAAAAATTTCGTTTTAGTTTTTCTATTAAGTGTAAAATGTAAGTATTTAAAGTGTATCGAAAAAGACCATTAAAAAAAGAATAAAAAAGCCTCGCTTTTGTATTCATATTCTATTCAGAACGTTTTATGTAGTCGCATAAGAGGAACGCGTGTCGCGCAGTGGTCGGAGGCGCCATGCGACAAACACGTGGAACTGATCCCCGCGCCCATGGCTCGCCAAGCCTTCTATTACTCCGCGGTTGGAAAATTGGCAACAGATGCGAGTCATTGCAAAAACCAGATATGCATTCAGTCACCTCCAAATGATGCTTAATGAAGTCGAATGCATGGCGCATCCCTCAGGGATTGATCAACGCCGAAGGCTTTTTTATCCTTTATAAAAGAAACAAGTAAAATAGAGTGTTTTTAGAAAAATGAACCGCTAAAGATGGAAATATTCATAACCAAATAAAATAGTATAAAATTTCCCGTTTGAAGGACGAGTAATAAGCGAAGCGGAACAATACACGATTGGTACGCTGTTTTCCGCCATATTTCAGCCCCTGTCAGCCAGGATTGGCAATCATTGGATGTTTCCATCTCAGTGCCCCTCTCATCACTTCATAGTCTTCACAATTATTAAGTTGTTCAAAAATAAATGAGCGTTTCTAACTGTATTATTTTAAATGTGATAACTTGCTTCAAACAAAACAAGGTAAAAATCGTTTAAATCTACACATTTTTGCCAATGAGAAACGAGTTTACTTATTCCAGCAACATAAAATTCTGGAGTTCTGGAAGCGATGAATTCGTTGAAGGCATTTTTTGCGTCATCGAGTTTGGTGAAGCATTTCTTGCACAGGAAATTGCCAAGATGCTTGAGGAAGTGATAGTCGATAGGCGGGAGGTCCGGCGAACACGGCGGATGAAGCGAAGTTTCGTAGTCCAACTCGTTCAACTTCTCCAGCGCTGGTTTTGCAACGTGAGGCTGAGCGTTGTCGAGGAGAAGGATTGGTCCTTTTTTGATGAGTAATGCCGGTCGATCTTGTTGCAGTTTACGGCCCATTTCGTCGATTTATTCACAGTGCTTCTCTGCCGTAATCGTCTCGGCCGGATTGAAAAAGCTGCGATGAATCAGGCCAGCTGCAGACCATCAAACAGCCACCGTAAACTTTTTTGGTGCAATTTCGGCGTTGGAAGTGCTGTGGACCTGATCGCAATCCAACCGATAAACTGAACGACACCGGTTGCTGTACAGAATCTACTTCTCGTCTCAGTTGTGCAGAATAAGAGCAGACGGCACTTCAAAACGACGATTTTTTTATTACCGTTTAACTATGGCGAGACCCACTTGTTGAGTTTTTTCTCTTTCCTTTGTAATGGAGGTAAGAGGAAATTGCTCCTGTGCTTACGCCAAGCTGTTCTGCAAGTTTCGAACAGTTGTTCGCGTGTTTGCTTCCGCCAGTGTCTTCAATTCGTCGTCGTCACGTTTATTGGGATGTCTGCGCCCTTATCTTCGAGGTCGAAAGCACTAGATGGAAATTTCAGGAGCCATATTTGCACTGTTGATTCTCCAACATTCCCTTCACCCCAAACTCCATTAGTACTTCGTGCCGTCTCTGCTGCACTAGGACCGAGTTTGAACTCATAAAAGAAAATTCAACGAAAATTCGTTTTTGACACCTGAAATTCCAGGGCTCAAAATTAGTAGGAAAATTTAATTTTTGACAAAATAAAAAAATATATTAGAAAGAGCATAAAATCAGCTTTCTAAAAAATATTGCAAATTAAGAAGAATATTTTATTGGCAAAAATATATTAAATCAATAAATGTTTTAAAACGCCCATTTATTCCTGAACAACTTAATACTAAGTAGTTTTCAGTCATCTCAAATATCCTATACAGAACATCAATCCTGGTGAAGGTGCTTGACGAACGGTGAGAAATATGAAACACTCCTAAAGAAAAGGTGCAAGAAAAAAATTCCTCTACGATGTCCACACGGAAGAAAGAGTTTTGAAGTGTCGAATCGTATTTGAGCGAATTTCGTTGAACTGTTTAGAAGTATGGTGTTGGAGATCGATGTCATTTTGGTGACGAAAATCTCCATTATGGAGCTTTTGGTAGCCGCCATTGAATAGAACTTCAGAGAAAGTCGTGATGTGGATTCCATTTTTGTTATCGGAACGTCGGCATTTATGTTTTGGAACCCCTGTCTGGCTAGGACTCAGTAACTGTAGACGGACACTTGCCGAACTATTCAGAGAGCATACTAACAATCAACAAATCGTTGATAGTGTGCCAGTAAGTAGAAAATATCTACTTCGTGACTCCACCACAATCCCAGTAGCACTTTAGTTAAGAAGGGACTAGGCTTAAATCCGAGTGCAGTGCGCTTCATATGATAATGAAATTCTTCTAACATAGAATTAGAAATAGTGAAGTACTCCTTAACAATTATTCCTTTCATAACCCGAGTGATAGATATTACCTTCCACGCTTCATGAAAATAACAGAATTCTCTGCCTTGAGGGTCGACTTTCTGTCAAACGTGTAAAGATGAAAATAAAGAATGAGTGTAGCAAATGACCTCCTTCAGAATAAACATCAGCAACTCCTTTCCACAACTCTGACAACGATATTACCTGTACCACCTGCATTCAGCTCACCGTTGAGTAATTTGTGCGAATGCTAATAACTTCTCCATTCGTATCTTTCGTGTGTCAAAGTTCTTCTGTGGACCTTGCTCACACAAGAATTCCGAAGGCAATGGTAATTTTTCTGGGATCTTCGTGAAAAAATCGGACTATCGGATCGGTAGGCTTACAATTGTGTGCTTGACATGTCGTAGGATCCAGTCGTAGACAGCTGTCAACCGATTGTCATTTGCATAGATCACACTTCCTGCTCACTTAATTCTGAATATGATCGCTTATCCGACCTCTTTTCTGACCCGACCTAGACCCGAATGAGGGGTTTTCTCTTCTAACTCCATCAAATCGAATACACCTGGTATATTCCTCCAGAAATCGCGCATATATACCCAAAAGCCCTCTAGAAACACTAATCGCACTTTCACTTTGCTCATCATGAATTGAAAGAGGTGACAGAAGTATTTATCTACATGAATACTTATTCGATGTAGTTGTGAGGTGTAGAAGCTCCACTTTCTTTTGCTTAGACTCAGATATATATAGAAAACATGACCAAATGAAAAACCTTGGAGTCCATGCTCACCAATTTGAATCCATAAACCACCAAGCGTTCTCACGACGTAGCCGAGACAGAGTTCCACTTCTTAATCACAACTATGATTCTCTCTATCACTCATAAAGCACCGCAACGATGTTTTCTAGAACAATGGCAACTCTTAGAACGGAGAACTAGACCTAAAGAAGCTGTCACAAATGACAAGATGATTCTTAGGAGATGAAACGTATGGAAACTGTATGAAGCCAAACGCTTAGTAAAAACAGCTGGTACAGAATAAGAACACATATCTAAGAAATCAGCAGTATTTTCAAATAGTATGAATGCTCTATGTGTCGATGCAGAAAAAAAGCAGAAGAAATTTGTGGAAAAAAAAACAAGTGATAACGCTGACAATTGGCGACCGAAAATGGTAAGACTGTCTAGAGGGAATTCGAAAAATAGGTTTGAAAAACAAGGATTACAAAAAGAAATAAAAAAATCTAAAGAAAAAAGTGGAAAAAAGTAAGGAAGAGATAATCGCAACATTTTCCAGGATAACGAACAAGAATGCGGCGAAGTGATTTTCGGAGCTCCACTACTCATGACGAGCAACTCGGTTTCGAGTGAAATCACCCAATTATAGGGTGGACTTCTTGAGAAAGAAATTAGTTCTCTAGAAACTGATTCGTTCTTACAATTACTCACCTAGCTTCTTCCGTAGATAAACCATCACTACGCTCAGGGAATTCGTGATGAATATAAGAATCCTGATACAAATCCTTTAATTGCTCTATTGTTAAATGATGCTCGACGAACGATGTACCAACGGCCTAAAATTGGGCTGTCCACATCTAAATTTTCGGTAGTCTCAACTTTATTCTTGTATTTGAACTCTTCATAAGTGTAAATGTTTTCTCTCATTCTTACTCGCTTATTCTTTATGCATTAGAAACCCAGTTTTTAAAAGATCGGTGCAAGTATTGATTGGTCTTGATTTTTGAGCTTTCTATATATAGTAAGTATACCAATGCACCATAAACTAGCATATACTAAGTGTATTCTAAATATAAGGCACGTTTCTGGCCTCCGTGATGTCCGTTCGGCTCGGTCGAACTTTGTCTCTGTGTCGCCATCGACCCAAAAAACCGAGTTCCAGGTCGAACGGTAGTCCTGTAAAAAGCGTCTGATAAATCAATCACCAATCAATAGTGAACATTTAACAAAATTCGTACCTTTGTTGTGTTTTAGTTGAGCTTCATCTCCACACACCTTTTCTGAAATAAATCGATCTCTTTTCGTGATCTGCTTCCAAAACTTGTCAGTTTTTCCCATATTCTCTGTTTTCTCTATCTCCTTCGAGGTGTATTTTACGACACTAGGCCTCAAACAACAATAAAAAAGAATTGAATATTTTAGTTAAGCAGATTGTTTTAAAACCATTACTTAATTGCGACTTCGTGGCTTTCAATGATTCACAGTACTTAACTAACATAGTAGAGATGAAGCTGGTTTTTCGATAACTGGGCTTATTGAGAATTTGAGAATTTCAGTGACTTGCAGAAGTCTTTGATCTGCTGTATGATTAATCTTTATAGAAACCTCCCAATGGTTTACCGTCTCATCGTTGCTGGGAGGTGTTCCTAGGTGTCGGACTGCAATGTACAGAGGGAAATTCATCCCTGGCAGTGTCTCCCAGGCTGAGAAGGAGTCTGGTGTTTCCATCAGGAAACCGACTTTGAGTAAGTCAATACTAGAATCTACCATCTTCCTGGTACCAAAGTCGCATGGTGGGAGACATCCCTCTGATTCACAAGGGCTGCGACTACCTGTGGTGGCGAAGACCTGGGGCAGACTTTGGCCAGGCTCACCTCGGGATTCCAGGACACCACAATGGCTTAAACCAGCAAATCTTCGAAAAATGGTGATTATGCAGGGGTCGGCACAACCAGTGAGGACGGGCCATTCAAGTATTAAGTAAATAAGTAAGAAACATCGTTTTAGTCGTAAATTAGTTCAAATTACTAGAAAAATTGAAGACACGGTTTAAATTTTCAATGTAACAGCAGTTGTCACGAACATCAACAATACATTGGAGAGCATCATCATGTCTTTCCAGTTGAAATGCCATTTATTCCGTATCCTTTCTGTTCGAAATATGTCTTGACATGAAAAAATGAAAAAGAATTAGTTCCATTTGCTCCAGAAAATGAAAACTTCATCACCGTGGAATAGAAGGACTTGTATCTTGTCGGAAATGATCTGCAGATTCTAATGGTGTTTATTTCGTTTGACAAAGTCCATTATGATCTGAGATGTCATTGTTTAAATCCAACGATGCAAATGTTTTCGGGTGCTATTCGAATTTATGCATACGTTGCGAACTTCCTAGCATTAGCCGCACAAGGATTCAATAGTAGTTACTGAACGGCAGGCCGATTCATTTTATTGCCTGACGAAAAATCTCAGAAACAATAAGGAGATCGAAAACCGGTGAGAATAGGATTCAAATGTTTTCCTCTTAAATTTCCCAGTCCTTTCCATTCTCATCCATCCAAAAGAGGAATGACCGGACTCAACAGCAAAGATGTTGTTCGAATAAAGGATAAAGGATAAAGCTCCTGGCGTTAATCAATCCCTGAGTCGTACGCCATGCATTGGACTTCACTAAGCATTGTTTGGAGGTGATTGAATGTACACCTGACCTTTACAATGACTCGCGGTGGCCTACCGATGTATCGAGCCAGTGCTGCTATCTTCCTCGGCAAGTCCGGCACCAATATGCCGACCCCGGAAGAATGGGAGACTTGGTGGGCCATGGGCGCGGGGATCGATTTCATATGTGTGTTGCAGGGCGCCTCCGACCACTGGGCCACACGCGCCCTGGTTGTTCGAATAAGAAATGGAAACCACACGGATCTTTTATGTTTGAGAATTCGGTATCACTGAGGAGGATACGTAAAATAGTGGGAATTTTTGTAGTTGGAACAAAAGTTGCGAAATTTGCTCAACTTTTGATTTACAGGTAAACCAGGTAGAATAAGTAGATGTTGCAGACCGTGTACTTGTATCAGTGCTGACACGATATTTTGAAGAGAGACTGATGCAATACCGAAGGCACCTGCCTCGTAAAACCACACAGTCAGATCAATTGACTGATCGATTATTCGACTGATCAGTAAGGCATATAAGTTCCACAGAATAACAACTATATGAGTAATATATGAGTCATAGAGGCGAAAAACAATTGGACATTTCGACTTTAATCATACATATCACGCTTTATAGTAAATTTTATTGAATAAAATAAGAGCCGCTAAAATCTATAGATTTTTACCGGCAGGATATACGTTTCCTTATTCTACCGTGATGAAATTCCGATTTTTGAGAGCAACGAGAGGTTTTTCACCTTTCTTTGAATAGAGATATATTCAAAACAGTAACAGATGTGCATTGAATGCAATGCACGTGGTGTGGAAGTAATGGCTGTTTTCAGCTTTCAGTCAACATATATATCAAACTTTATTACTAAACCAGTAGAATCTGCAGATCTCTGTTTACATGAAACAAGCTTTCCTACGCTATTGAGATAAAATTTCGACTCTCTAGAACCCACAAAATGATATTTTTTCACTCTTCTAGTCAGATCTCGTATTTGGAAACGCAAAGCGATTGAAAAACGGGATTTCGTCAAGCGGGTCATGATAGCGTCCCCAATAGAATAGATAGCTACAGTGATTGTGTTGAAAATCTTGAAAGTCGTCTATTTTTCGAACATTTCTGAAATTTGCTCTAAAATAAAAACAGATCAGTAGAAAATGATGTATATTCTTAGAGGGCGTGTGTGGCGCAGTAGTTAGGGCGCCCTGCAACACACACGTGGAATCGATCCCATTGCCCATGACCCACCAAGCCTTCTATCCCTCCGAAGTCGGCAAATTGGTACCAGACTTGTTTGGGAGGATAGCAGCACTGGCTCGATACATCGGTAGGCCACCGCGAGTCATTTTGAAGGCCAGATATGCATTCAATCACCTCCAACGATACTTAATGAAGTCGAATGCATGACGCATTCCTCGGGGATTGATCAGCGTCGAGAGCTTTATCCTTATTTTTTGTAAGGTAACCTTTCTTCTAGAGGTAAAGTGCTCAACTTCTCAAGTAATCGACTTATAGGAAACACATCTCGCAGTTATCAAGAAATCAGCACTGTCATTAATATGCCAGTAAGACTAAATTAGCTATAAATTCCTACAAAAAGATTACTTTTGCTCACCAGAAGTTATCACTAATAAAAAATATCTCCAAAACAGAAAAAGTCAGAAACAAAGCGAAAAGAAGAAAAATTTTTGATAGAAAAGAGGGAAATGACACTCACTCAGTGTCATTCTGAATGGACACGACGGAGGAACTCGCCGCTACGAACACGACGGTTGCTAATTTTGTTGACCGTCAAAAATTCGTTGATGTGAATCGAAATGAGAAGAAAAAAGACGAAGATAAAGTCGGCTCCAATGACGGTAATCGGATGAAAAGTACGACGAAAACTGTAATAATCAATCGTGTCAACAATAGCGCAGTAAAGAAACACGAGCGATAATCAGCGAAATAATCGATAACTATCGTTATTTGTAACGATAACAAAATTTACATCACTATTATCATGCTCAAGGAGAAAAAGCTAGGATGAAAGTGGGGGTTGTCGACAGTACCGGTGGTCATTTTCGTACAGAATTCATGAATGAAGTCGCATGATATTCAAGAACCTACAAGCAGTATTAAGCGATCAGATTAATTTTATTATGAGCTATTTGGACGCATGTAGTGCAGTGAGTAGAGATATCCTGCAATACACTTGGGTTTGATCCCGCGCTCCAGGCTTACCAAGCCTTCCATCTCTCCGCGCTCGGCAAATTGGTACCACACCTGTTTGGGAAGATAGTAGCTCTGACTCAGCATATCGGTAGGCCACCACGAGTCATCGTATAGAACAGATTTGCATCCAACCACCTCTAGTGATGCTTAGTGAAATCGAATGCATGGCACATGGCCCGCTTAGGTGAAGAACATGAGCTGCAATTCCATGAGGACGTAAATAGCGCAGCGACCGAAAGGTTCTCTGCAGTGCGCTCGTGATCACTGGTTTGTGTCCGCACAGTGGCTATTCAGACGTTTCATCCTCCCGGGTTTCGCAAATTCATATCTGGGTTCTGTTTGGGAGGATAAAGGCACTCATTTGATACCTCCAAAAGTTATGGTATAGGTTAAATACGCATTCAATCACCTCTAAAATGCTACGAATGGAGTCTAATACATGTTTCATTCAGTGATCGGTCATCGCTACGCCCATGTACCTGTATCCCTTAACATGAATCACTAGAACAGCATAGAATTACCGTTCTGGTGAAAAAACTCTCTATCACTTAATATCTCATAATGCTTTAACCAGTTCTACTGAAGGAACAAAAGCATGAAAGTAGAGGGCTACATATTAGCGCTTAGATTTTGAAAAAAATGTGGAAAAAAACAGACTTGATTTCGAAAGGAAATAGAGGAACATGGGCAAAAATTCAGAACACACCAAAGAGAAAGAGAGAAAGGGATGACAGAAAATGTTGCTGATCATGTTGTTAACTGCCTGCAACACTTCAACGAACTACTGAAAGTTCATGAGAAATGAAAACCGACCACATAGAGGTCTTCAAGTTCACTAAAAGTTATTCGGCATCATTTGAAATTTATCTAGAATAAACTGATAGTAATTAATAAATTGTCCACAGTTACAAAACAAACCACTATTTTTTCTGGTTCCTGCTACTACTAGTGCTACTAATTACTAATACGACTCTAAGCATAGGAAATCAAGTGTTCGAAGATAGAAATGATCTAGTAGATCTTTTAAAACATAACAGAGCGCTCTGCGCGCTTGGAAGAATCCTGTCGCCCTGATGCTATCTTACCCCTCATGGAGATTTCTCTAGGATGTGCGTAATCACTAGAATGAAAGGCAATGCATCCATTAAAAACAAATTGGTTGCTTAATATTATGGTCTAGCTAATGTAACTTATCTCCGTTAAAAAATAATTCAGCTCTTTAGAGAATAATCTAGAAAACGGATTACTATAGATCGAACGAGTGAATAAGATTGATCGTCAAATGGACTGATGACATACACCTTAACGTTGAAGTTAATCGCTGTCATTGTCGTCAAAGAAGTGGCCAAGGCGATAATAGATTCGTTCGAATCATTCGAATATTAGAATCGATCGAATAAACGGAATCATAGTCGACAAATCGTCCAATCAGTGTGTGATTGAGTGCTAAATAACGAGACGATGCGCACCGTTGTAAATCATCACCGTCGTCATCATCATCATCGTAGTCGAACCGCCTATCGCCTCTTACAGATTCTTTTTCTGTCGTACAGACGGAACTCGAAAAAGTTCACAAACCAGTTCATAGTTCAGTTCGAGTTCAAGTTCGTGGATAGCATTTAATTAAAAACACACGAGACGGTTTAGGTGGTGTCTTATAATAAAAAAAGGAGACAGATATTCAACGCAACATATACATTGTAGAATAAAATCTAATGAGGTGAATTACGGGTTTCGACGGTCTAAACTCTCTTATCCAAAGGATCTGAACTTCTTCCTCGTCAACCGGATTCCACAGTTAATGTAATTGTAATCACTACGTCGTCTCATCGATGTGCGGATGGGCATGGTGTCTACGCATGTCTAAACTGTGATATAGGACGTTGTTCATCACGTTCTCAGTGTTATCCATGCTTGGAAAGAATTCATTTCCATCCGCAACGCTATTGGAGATTAAAACAAGGAGCGGAATCACCACCATCCTGAGTGAGTTCTTTTTTGAAGTTCTGCAAACGTCAGTAAGTGTGGTGAGAACCACGTGACATTGTGTGGAAAGGCTTTATCAGGACTCCAAAAAGAAAACAACGCGTTTGTTCAACAAAACACGAGTGAAGTGGAAGCCTTGCTGAGGCACAGCACGTGCTACTTGTGATGGTGGATCAAACTATTACTACGGCCTTAATCACTAGGCGGTTGAACGAAGCCGAAAAAGTGGATGCTCGACTGAAGACCTATGCCATCAGCAACTGCTTCCGTCCTCGAGGAAACTCAGTCATAAGGTGGGAAATCATCGTCCGACCCAAATGGGTCTGCAACTGCCTGCGGTAACCACTTGATAACGACCTTATACCAATTTGACACTTAGCACTTCAGATAAGGAAGCTTGTCCAACAGTAAATTATTGTCGTTTCAATCGTCCTGAGGACAATTTTATTTATAGAAATTGTGAAAAAATTCATTGTTATTAATGATCGTGAGAAACCTGTTTTTCCTCTCAATCTACTGTTCGTATCATATTTTCTCTATTCGTGTGTAACCGAACCAGCGCGGAAATTCGAAGACCTTCGTGGATGACCGGAATAAGACAATGAATCGAATGAAAAAAAGCTGGCATCCGCTCAATATGTGAAAACAGGACATACAAACACTATTATAAAAAGACTGATTTAAAACCCATAGCAAGCACATGTTCAGATGCACCATACCACGACATATTCGTAACACAAGGGTTAAAGTACAAACTCATGAGGTAATTACTAACGATCAGCTTTTTTTCTCAGACCCCACACGATGGTAACGATGTCTGCGACGTTCTTCATGCAACAATAACAACAACGATAGAAATCAGTCATTGTGGCTTTCTCCTCTCATCGCCAATAACAAACCGTTTTCTTTTGGAGTTGAATAACATCGATGTTGAGATGATAGTGGTCACGACCATAAAACAAGTTGTTCGACGTCGAACTGGTTCACGACGGTCATGACATTATGATAGACACGGAGTGCAGCAAAAATGCAGAGGGAAACTCTCCCTCTGAGAAAACTCTTCGTTTTAGTACACCGAACGTTAGTTATCGTACTCACCATTGAATAATTAAAGAGTTCTCAAGGTCAACTTTCTATTAACCTCCGCAGTAACCATAAAAGAGAACGCGCAGCGCAATGATTAAATAAGCCTGCAACACATTCCTAGACACAGGTTCGATTACATGCCCTGGCTAGCCAAACCCTCAATCCATCCGGGATCCGCAAAATGGCACCTAGGAATTGTCTGGAAGGATAAATAGCACTGTTACTAAGCCATCGCAACACTTTATATAGGCCAGCCATATACTTACTATTCTCTAAAATGCTACGAATGGAGTAGAGTCCGCCTTAAGTGATTGATCAACACCGAAAACTTTTATCAAAAATTACGGATAAATATTTCCCACCTTGGTTATGGTTTCGAAGGATTTCTTCTTTTTTTGAACATATGATAGTTAGGCTAAACTACAACTTATTCAATTATAACTACTACCGCATCTTACTTGATACTTGATAATTGAACGGCCCGTCCTCACTTGTTGTGCAGGCCCCAGCACAATCCCCATTTTTCGGAGATTTGCTGGTTAAGCTATTGTGGTTCCCTAGAATCACGAGTTCAATTTCGCCAAAGTCCGTCCCAGGTCTTCACCACCACATGCAGTCGCAGCCCTCATGAATCAGAGGAAGATTTGCCACCAGGCGACTTTGATACCAGGACGGTGGTGGATCCTGGTATTAGCATACTCCTAGCTGGGCTTCCTGATGGAAACGCCGAACTCCTACTCAGCTTGGAGGACCTTGCGAGAGGATGAGTATCCCGCTGTACATCGCAGCCCGACACCCAAGAACACCTCCCAGCCAGGATGAGACGGTAAACCGTTGGGAGGACTACCGCAACTACGTAGTAAAAATCCTGATCTTAACCTGTGTTTCTGATGCAGACATCTTTATGAGTTGACTCTGAACTCTTCATTGTAAACGGTTCCACTGCAAATTGTTTCTTGTCATTTTCTAAAGATATACAGATTAAGGAGAGAAGTTAAAACGATAACCAGCTAGCTTACGCTGTCCGCCCTTTTCCCTTAATCTTAAAAACACTATAAATAAACTAGAAGTTATACGATGAGATTATAAAGACGTTTAACGCAAATGCTTAGACGTGGCGGAAAAAATGCAATGCGCAGATTGTCATTTAGTTGTAATGGACAGGAAAAAAGCAACAACATGACCAAAGACATTAAATACTTGCAAAAAACCATTTGAAAAACATCTTGCTCCGACGCAACGTTTGCAAGAAGGAAAAATATTAGTTCGTTGACGTTTTCCGGTCATTATGAATACGTCAACGAGTGTTAAAAAAATCACAAAGAAAAGAGAACGAAGGGAACTTGAGAGAAGAAAACAACAGAAAAATTCACTTAATGTAGGAAAGTTTATACGAAAAAATGTATTCGGGAAAAAGAATTTCATAAAGTACTGAAACGACACCTTAAAAGGATAAGGAAGGATAAAGCTCTCGACGTTGGTCCATCACTGACGGAAGTGCCATGCATTCAACTTCAGTAAGCATCGTTTGGAGGTAACTGAATGCATAGCTGGCCTTTAAAATTACTCGCGGTGGCCTACCGATGCATCGAGCCAGTGCAGGTATCCTCACAGACAAGTCTGGTACCAATTTAGCGACCCCGGAAGGATAGA